TTCGCAGAAACCTTACACGTTTATGAAGTTTTATCAGTTTTACTCATATATCTAAAAGTGACTCTTACACACTTGATCATTTTAGCATCCATTGGAGAGACGAAGTTCTGCCAGAGTTTCGATGGAGATACCTTCTTCATCGATGGTGATATAATCCCTATCTTCTATATGGCTAGCAAAAGTTCCTATTGTTTAGGAAGTGCATTCTATTATACTTTATGCATTACTTTCAATGATTTAATGATATGCTTATACTTATAAAAGTATATCTTCTATTATATGTTATTTTGGTTTTGTGCATGTATGATTTTATTGGACACAATTACTCATGTATGTATATGCTTATGAACTTGCTACGAACTTGCTCTAGTGTGGTATGCTATTGACTTATGCATGTATGATTTGATTGGACACAATTACTCATGTATGTATATGCAGCTTGATGCTTGATCTAGGTTGTTGAGAACTCGCCCTAGAAATCGATCATCAAAGCCAAGGACCATTTGTTGTGGTGTTCGTATAGGCCTTAACTAGCAAAGTCATCTATGATTCCATTGTTCATGATTGATTAGTTATTGACATGACGCGAAAGGGCGTATTATCTACTCTTAATTCTTTTTGCATGTGGCAAAATATTGATTAGGAATATATTAGTGGCAGAGATGGGGTATCATAGTAGAAGGAATTTCTGAATGCATTATCAATAATGATTTGGTATGCATGATCATCTAGATGAAGCTACCTAAACAATAGTTTATCTTATATGTTTTATCTTTGCTTTACCCATTTATCTAATTGTTTTCCTTGTTTTACTTGAAGTTGAAAATAAGGGAACCTCAACCATCGCATTTATAATTTTGTTCGAGCATAAGTGATTAGTTATAAAGGATTTTCTATTAAAATACTGGTGGAATACAATCCTAGACAAAATCAAGGAAAATCACTTTGCAATATACTACAATTACACCAAATTTTTTGCACCTTTGCTAGAGAATATTAATAGTATTTGAAAGTAACTAACCATATTATGTTTCTTTTATTTCCAATTAGATCTAATTATTGTATAATTTTTCTTTTATGATCCTGGTTCAAACTAGAAAAGAAAAACAAAATCAAAAGATCGTGGAGCAGATCATCGATCAACGAGGAAACTCGAGTTTAGCTTTGTTGAGATCAAAAGAAAGAACATTCGGGTTAAGTGAAGAGCTAGAGGATACTTAAAGGAACACCTAATTCGAGTTACACTCTTTTTGGGAGAAGGGAATTTACGAAGTTTACAGTTTTGATATGAAGAACAAAGGATCCACGAAATCATCGTCAAAGATAAATGGAGCGAATTGAATAGTTCACCTCCAACGAATGTTGCAATCTGAACATTAGTTATGAAAATGGTACAACAATCTGAAGGATTTGCTGGAAGGAAGGACTATGATCTTGTGCAACATTTGAAGATTTTCTTAGAGAACGTTGATTCAATTTCTAGAAATGTAGCCACTCGAGATGCTATCCAACTAAGAATGTTTCCTTTCTCATTAACTAAAAAGGAAAAAAAAACGTTGGATTACCATCCACCAAACATCATCACCACATGGGTAGATTTATCACAAGTTTTGATAGAAATATTCTTTCTAACATGGAAAACTGAAAAACTTAGATAAGGAATATCCCAATTTCAATAGAAAGATGGAGATACATTCCATGATGTGTGGAAAAGATTTCAAGGACATCTCAAGGCATTGTCCCGCCATGGATTCACACGAGAACAAATAGCCAAGTACTTCGCCAAGGGATTGGATAGAGATACCACAATGTTGTTGAATCAATCTAACGATGGTGATTTTAATTAAATTGTTTAAATTATTAGAATTCAATGCCAATAGCATTTCGCCAACCTAGAGAGAAAATCAAAGAACTAGTCCAAGAAGTCAACGGTTAAACCATTAATATCTGCCCAAGCAAGTGATGACATTGCCACCATCGTCCACGAGCAAATGAAAGAGCTTTCTCAACTACTCAAAGATGTCACCATGAATCTATATCACTTCCAACCGATTAGATCATGGTCCTATTTATTGTAGCGCAAATCTTGTTTGTGGGTTTCGAATGAGTGATATCTTTATTAGAGCATCCACATCAAGTTATCATATTGAATTGCATAGGGATTTGGTAATGGAAATGTAATACATCTTTAATTGCATGGATGTAAGTATTAATTGCATTTGTGCAAGCTAAAACAAAATGAAATTTCATTTGCAATGTCTCACTCTTATATTTGGGTTTTTTATGTTTACAGGTAATCGAAAAAATAAAACAAACCTTTTATTTGATCAAAGAAATAATTTGGGGGTCGTTTGGAAGTTGCGATTGTTAAATAAATGCATTGTTGTGAATGCATATGTAATATTATACATGTATTGTCGAATTTGATTTATTATAGAATACACCATTAGGTATGTGTGATTGTCCATGTCAGATCAGCTAAAAGTTTAACAAAGCTATCTCATCTCAATTCTCTCAACAATCACTCGTTTTGAGTGATAGTTTCTGTCACGTCGCAGAAACAATCCATGTATTATTTCTGCTAAAAAATATAAAAAAAATAATGCATTCTAAAAAATACATGTATAGTAACAATCTCAACAAAACAATCGCAACTTTCAAACGACCGCTTAGACACACATAAGCAACTGCAAAGTTAATTGCATTGTGTATGTGAACAAAATTAACTTGAGTTGGATTGTAAAAAGTTGAGTTGACAAAAAAGAGCACAAATACAATTACTTTTTCAATTACATTGATGTTGATGCTTAAAAACAAAAGACACTGGCATATATCGGGCATGACTTAGCATGGTAACTGATTTTTTTGTAGTCACGGTGGCTACCAAAATCTATAGCGTTTATTTTCCTATTCTCCCTTCTTTTTTTAATTGATGGTCAAGATCGCTTAAGGATAAATTTGAAAACGAAAAAAATACCTCATATGACTATTTCTCTTTAAAATTCAATTTTCCATATATATCTCTCCCCAAACCCTAACAGATAGTCACATATCCTCTCTTTCGTCGTCCGCTCATCCCATCTCTCCCGTCCGCCGGCAAGTAGCCTGCGCAGCTCCTACACGTCGTCGTCTAACTGTCGTCCGTCACATTCCTCCTCAGCCTCTCTTTGCCACTTGCAGAGCACCTAGGTGCCACCAATCACAATGTTACCCCCTCCCACTCTCCCTCCCCCCTCTTTTTCATTTTCACAGCAGCGTCCCACTTCATCTCAAATAGGCTCCTTGCCAAGCAGGGTCTGCAATTGCCACTCCTGCTAGGATCTATGGGCTACCCGTCGAAGAGCATTCCAACCAATCAGAACATTTCGTTTGGATGACTTTTCTATTTAAATGAGTTGACCACAATTAATGAGGGTAGAAGGGGAAGGAGGGGCACGCTTGGTATTATGAAAATTTGGGGAAGGGAGGGGGACACGAACCAGACCACATCCTCTTCCAAGCATGCCACAAACCTCAAAGCATGTTATAACCTTCTCAAAGCATGTCACAACCACAAAGCATGCCACAACTTCAAAGCATGCCACAACCTCCTCAAGTATGCCACAACCACAAAGCATGCCACAAGTTTATAAAACATGCCACAAGTAGTGGGCTTGTTTGTAAATTTTAAAAAGTTTAAGTACCAAAATGTAAGAAAAATTTTCAGATACCAAAATGTAATTTTTTATCGATATTTTTAGTACTCAAATGTAAAAGAAAAAATTATTTATTAGGTATTAAATATTAATACCTATTAAGTTCAGGTACCAAAACTGTAATTTGTAAATAAAACATGGAAAAGTAACGTGAATGGAAGGGAAGGGAGAAGGGTTAAAATACTATCATACCCTTGATGAATGTGTTGGTATGATGCTAATATTTAAGGGTGTTAGCACCCTGTCCACTCTCAAGCTAATTGGGAGAGAGAAAATTGTAATTAATATAATTTTTGTAACTTTCCATTTATTTAATTTAATAAAATGGCAATTAATAAATATTATCTTTTCTATACCCAATTTATGCTCAGTAATCACGATGGCTATTAAGAATTAGTAATCATTATAACCCTCCCTACTCGGTAGACATTGTGGTTTTGGGGAGTAGTTCGTGTGCATAACCATGTGGTGAGTAACTATATATAACCCAATCACTATCCGCTACATCAACATCCCTTCTCTCTACTTGAAAGTTTTTAATTTTTTCCCCCTTAATTTTTAACGGATTATTTCTCACTCGTTTTAAGTCGGAATTTAAATTTTTTTGCACAGTTATATCATATTAATTGTGCTCTTCAAAATGATATTCACTTTGTATATTTTTGGAAAAAAAATTTGAGTCATTTTTGACCTATATATACCATATGGTATTGATTTGTATTAAATAAAAGCATACCATATGGTATGACAAAGCTTACCGTGGTGGTATGAACATACCAAGACTGTACGATGATTGAATACATGATAGTAGGAGTATACTAACTGTCATTTTCGAATTTCAACATTGTGTACCCCAAGATACCAACCCATACTAGGGTGGTATTGTGTGATATTTTTTTGTCCTGAATTTTGTTCACTCGCAAATTTGTAAATCCAAATCCAATAGATCATGATTAACTCGTTCATTCTATGGCAAAAATTTCTAAAACGACTTAAAAACGAAGAGATATCATATGGTATAACGAGAGGCAAGAAATATTTTCTAAAAAAATATTGAAAATGGATCTCATTTTGTAGAGCACAAATAACTTGTTCCATCTGTGCAAAAAAAAAAAATGTATCCGATTTAAAACGAAGAAGATATGAGCCGATTAAGAAAACAAGAAAAAATAAAAATGCTTTCAATTCTCCACACTTAGATCTGGATTTTTTTATCTCACTTAAATCTGGTTGTTGAGATTTTTTTACTTTTTTTTTACAAAAAGTAGTCGTATATATTGATTAGAAAAAGATAGTTACATCCTGGCATTTAACCAGGCCATTATATAAAAAAAAGCGACTCGTAGTCGGGTACATATGGAGGGTCTTTCTAGTCACCAGATGAGCTAGCATATTACTACGGCCACATACAAAACGCACCGAAAACTCAGTATGAAGCGCCAATCGTTGCACAATCTCCTCAAGAAGGGTACCAATGTGACTATCACTAGTACTGGACCGATTGATTTTCTCAATAGCCACCATAACATCACCTTCAAAACTGACGAACGTAATCCCCAACCCCAGGCACCAGCCTATAGCCTCTCGAAGGGTAAGCATCTCAGCCACCAAAGGATCAACAACGCTTGGAAATTGAACCCCTTTAGCCAAGAGGATCTCCCATGCTTGGTCCAGGAGAACCATCCTTCCGGCCGCATGAGACTCACGCTCAATCTCCCCATCCCACCTATAGACTATCGGGGAAGGGTATACCACCCCGGCGGCTGAATAGGAAGACTAGGCAACCACATACCCTTATCAGCGGGCAAACTGACTCATTCTTGATACTGTTGATGGAATTGGCGCATTAAAGTTGGGATCCCAAACTACTTGCCTCAAAGACAACCCAGTTACGCGATCTCTAGATCTTCCATAGGAGGGCGGTGACAACCATAAACAACTGGGGTTGATGGATGATCGACATCAGCCTTTTCAGAAACAATGAAAAAGTGTGCCGAGTAAGTTCATGGCCAAGATATTCGAGCTCCGTATAATCCCACAACGCCCTCGTCACTAAACTGTCTAGAAACAAATATTCCTTTGTTTCCAATTCCGCCCAACAAACCAGACATCTGGTATGAAATGGCTCTGGATAGCATAACAACAAGGGTATAAGGGCAAATTGCACAAAATATGAATTAATAAGTTGTTTTCTTTTACCTGGTATTAAATTTGAAATTCGAAATTAATAATAAAAATTCATTGAAGCCCGCGATTCTGTCATTTCCGTTTTCAGCTTTCCCCTCTGCTCACGAACTGCTCTCCGACATCTCCTTCGGTTGCTCTCTCCCTGTTCTCGCTAATTTTCCATCTGCATCGAGCGATTTCGTCTGCGTCTTGTGGATTTACTTCGCGCGATTTTGTTTCCTCCTTCGTCGAAGTGAATTTCGAGGTATGCCGGTGATTTCCTCCACTAAACTGTCTTTTCCTCTATCGTCTTTTTTGGCCTCCGAAGTCGCCGTTGTCGTTTGGCGTCGCCGGAGTTCCACTTGTATGGTGTTAGTTTGGCGTCGTCGTTGTCGTTTTCATTAGCATTGTCGTTGCTTGCTGCTGCTATTGAATTTATAACTGTCGTTTTCATGTTTGCTCTTTGTTACTTTCGTTTTCCACTTTTCTGAGATGTTTTGACGCATCCAGTCTAAATTTTTGTAGGAGACGAGGAAATTTCATACTTGTGTGTTCTGGTTAGGTTTTGTGCGCTCTGGTTAGGTTTTGTTGAATGTTTTAGGGTTTTTATGGTGTGCTTTGCATGTTTTAGGGTTTCTGGTTTCTCATGAGTCGTTTGTGGTGGTGTTCAGTAGTTCTGTTGTTTTGTTCTTATTTTTGGTGGTGTGCTTTGTGTTTGGTGACAGTTAGGATGTTTGTGGGTTCGATTGGGACCTTTCTGGAGGTTTTTAATAAAACTATTGTGTATTTTCAAGCTGCTGTTGGTGGTTCTTTTAAAAGGTTTTGTGGTTTGTGTTTCGGATTTCACAGTTTGGTTTAGGAGATTTACTGTTGTGCATTTGCAGTTGTTGTTTGACTCCTTTACATATGATTATTGAGTCGTTTGTGGTGGTGTTCAGTAGTTCTGTTGTTTTGTTCTTTATTTTGGTGGTGCGCTTTGTGTTTGGTGACATTTAGGGTGTTTGTGGGTTTGATTGGGGCCTTTTTTTTTCTTTTTTTTTTCCCCAAGGCAAGACCAGAGGGCATGGGACAAATACTCGGCACGATTACAAAACTTACTCAAATACAGCGCGTTAGTCTGTATGCAACCAGACTACGATGAGAGAGCACGTTAAGCCACTACTTGGGCAGCTCTGAAGAAGCTCCGAGGAGCAAAGACACGACACTGACGGGGAAAAAACAAAAACAAAACCCAACATCTCCAAGATAGTCCCGCCAGAGAGTGTAGTTTCCTTCGACGAAATATGCCGGTTGACCAGAATCGAGTTGCCACAAAAAGACGCAACAAAGAAAAGAAAAAGTTATTAGCAAATCTTCGACATAGCATGCTTAATTATTCTCATAGATTTGTAAAAGCGAATAAAATCGAACTATAACCTGATAGATCGATGAAACTTATTTAACTTCCTTTAACTACTTTCATACCATAAGAGCACCTGCAAAATGCCAACCAAATGCACATCGAAGGTGCTAGAAATCTCTATCACAAGAGATTAAATCTTGTCTTTGAGACAAAGTCGATCTTATCGAAAATACATCATCAACGGTAATATTCACCTCTTGTAAGTGCAGAACACTACAATCAGTAAGGTTGTCCAAATTAGAAAAAGTAAATCCTACTAAAATTACAAAACTAAATAAATTAATAATATTACTAAAGCTACTATAGATAATATAGATAATATAAGATTGAAAAATAAATAACCTGTAAACAGGAAAGTAATGTAATTAGAAGAAACAAAAACAGCTAACAAATATAGAAACGCAATTGAGTAAAGCTTGGCAAGGAATAATTATAATAGTGCATGGCGGGGGCGGGAATGGAAGGTAATCAATGCCCAAATTGAGTCTGGATTCAATTGTTGAGAATTAAAACCTAAAATTGAGCCGCTGATACTTGTCCATTTTTTAATACATTTTCTAATTTACCTAATCATTGTTACTGAAAGAGAATTGTTGACGAAAACGTAGATTAAGGGAATAATAAAAGCTAACAACTAGCAATTGAAATCATAAATGAGATAATTAAGAAAGGAATTAAATTAATTCAAAAAGTTTCTGTTTCCGAAACTTACCTTTAACGTAATTACCTTATACGGGAGCGGTGACGCAAATTCAGCGCGGTCGTCATCAATGGCTTGACTCGCCGACAATTTCATCAATGACGACCCCCCATCGCCGGAACGACGATCCACGAAACTACCGACCGCTCATCACCGATGATCACCTTGAACGACAACTTCGCCCGAGAAGAACAGAGTTGCCCTGCCAATTCTGTCCCCAGTTCGGCAGTTCCTCGTCATCAAAATCCACCCGCCCGTAGGCCCCTTCACCGCCATCACGACGCCGCTACCGCCAACATTACTCACCATAATCAAATTGAAGCGTTACTCTAAGCTTACACAATGACCATGTTAAGAACATCAAAACAAGCAAGTAATTTCCTATTTGCTGCAAATTTCGAACCCAATAATGCTAACCAAGATTAAACCCCACAAACAGAATCAAATTGCAGCAATACCCTAATCGATATAAATTGAGAGAGGAAAATAGCAGCTAAAAAACCACCATAGGAAGCCAATTCGAAAGCAGAGTTGACTTCTCTTAACAGAACCTGAGCGTGGAGAAAACCCACTATGCATTGCTGTTTCCGCCTTGCGAATGGGCGAAGTGGCTCGGGGACTGCCGCTGGACCGGTCCCGATACCGATTTTTGATTGGGGCCTTTTTGTAGGTTTTTAATACAACTATGGTGTATTTCCATGGTGATGTTGGTGGTTCATTTGCAGTTGTTGTTTGTCTCCTTTAAATTTGATTATTGGATTGTTTTCATGGTTGTACAGTTTGCATTAGGCCCTTGATGGTTTGCATTTTATATGTTCTGGTATTAGATTGCTTATGTTGGTTTGTGTTTTGGTTGCTTTGTAGGCATGGCACCTGCTAAGAAACGTGCAGTAAAGGGGAAACAAAAGGAAAAAGTTCCAACACCTAAGCGACAGAAAGATGGTGTTTCTCCTGTGCCTGGAAAGTCGGATAAGAGGCATCGCAGTAATACTAATCGTATTCTTGCCATCATGGATGCTGACAGTACAACTGAAGAAAAACTGCAGATGCTTAATCCTCTAGGTTTTAGGGGTGTGTCGAGGGTTAAGCTTACGATACTCCCGGATAATTTTACTAAATGGCTTTGCAAAAGTTTTGATGTCAGTTCAAGGTCTTTCCCGCTGCTTCGGTCGGGGAAGTTTAGAATTGGAGAGGCAGATGTGGAGAGAGTCTATGGTTTGCTGTGTGGACCGTATGCTGTTAAGCTGGATATGTTCAGTGTAGCCCAGAGGCACAAGTGGGGAATTGAGTTAGGGCTTTCCAATACTAGGAAAGGAAAGGCAACATTGGAGAACGTTAAACTTGTATTGGAAGAGGAGAAGGACAATAAGAAGTGGAGGGATCTTTTTGTGTTGTATGCAATGGAGGCAGTTCTGTGCCCCAGTGGAAATTTGAAGATTGACCTCTCCTATGCTGGGTTTTTGCAAGATGAAATGGTCGCTGACTTCAACCAATATAATTGGTGTAAGCATGTGGCTGACCATTTCAATGAAAGTATGGTTGAAGTGGTTCAATTAAAATCAAAGTTCCCTGGTGACGTTCATCTTCTTTTTGTAAATAGATAAATATACCTCTTTTCGAAGTTTGGTTTACTGTTTCATTTATGGTTTGTTTATTGACGAATGTGGTGTGGTTGAAGATGTTTATGGTTTGTTTAAGAATATTTATGGTTTGCTTTTTCCCCCTTTGTTATAATGTTTCTGGTATAGTTTATCATTTATGGTTTGTTTATTGATGAATGTGGTGTGATTGAAGATGTTTATGATTTGTTTAAAGATATTTACGGTTTGGTTTTCCCCCCTGTTATAATGTTTCTGTAGTTTGTCATTTATGGTTTGTTTATTGACGAATGTGGTGTGCTTGAAGATGTTTATGGTTTGTTTAAAAATATTTATGGTTTGGTTTTCCCCCTGTTATAATTTTCCTGTATAGTTTATCATTTATGTGATGTGTATTATAATCTTTCTGGCACAGTTTGTTTGTGGTTGCTTGACTTCTGTCTATTTGTATATGTGGCAGATTTCGATTCTTGACCGTTTGAAGAACCCCCCTGAGCTGCTGATTCGCTAAAACACAACACCTAACAATGGCCAAGTGTAACCAATGAAAGGGACTGCAGTATAGTGGCACAAGTAATAAATATCGAATCCACGGGTCTCTAGAGTTACTATTACTCAGCTTCAGTTCATTATCTAGCAAACTAGATTAAGGATTGATTAACTAAACTATTCTACTAACTAAACTAAGTAAAACTACTAATTACAGTTTGTGAACTCACTTAGGTATGATTCCCCCTAGCTCCTCAATTAGGTCCAAGTTGTAATTCCTTTTGGGTGATTTACTGTTGATTAAACTGCGGAAGATCCAACAGTAGCTTGGAATCTCTTAAGCTGACCAAGCCCTCTCAGTCTAACTATCCGGCAGACGACTAGTCTTCACCGGGATAGAAAGGTGAAGCAATAAGCACAGAACTCCACTACTGGAATTGGATTCCAGTACAAAGCAGTAAACTGGCTAACTCTCGTATAGCCAATCTCCTACTACCGAATGATGAGACTCTAGCAACCTAATCAGATTCTATCTATCTCAGATTGCAGCAGGAATCAGGAAAAGTTGATCAGACTTCAATTGACTCAATAAACATGCATCATTCGATTATAATCAAACAATATAGCATCCAAAACTTCATACAAGAAAGATCCTAACTCATGGAACTAGGGTTCCTCAAAACCTAAGTGAGGGGAAGTTACTCCATAGAGAAGAGAGAGACTGCAGAAATCTGATCTAGATCTTCAATCTCCATCTCCAAGCTTGATTCCCGAGCTCCAATGGCGAAGAAATCCCCCAAAATAGCTCCAAGAATGTTCCCAAGTCGCTCTCTCTCTCTAGGGTTCGTCCCTTGGGTGTTTGGGAACAAAAACCCAGCTCCCTCCCTTTCCTTTCGCTGAAAATCGGGTTTTAAACAGCAATTCCCGACTCACACGGCCAGGCCACACGGCCGTGTGGCTTTCCCAGCTGCCCGTGTGAAGGCTCGGTGAATTCCACACGGGCAAAAGTGCCCCTTGCACGGCCGTGTGGGTTGTGCCCGTGTGGCTTGCTCAGCCTCTGTTTAATGCTTCGTTTCTCCCTCGTCCGGACTCCGAATCAGTCGCCGTTTGATCCCAGACGCTCGTAGTCTTGTCCTCTTTCTATTCATGACAATCTTGCATGATTCTTTGTCCATGAAGTGAGGTAGAAATCCATTCTTCTTCAGGTCATGCCCGAGTTTCTTCTCCCAAATCGTTAATTGATCTCTGATTGACTTGAAACTTGCGCCTATGCTTCACTTTATGTGCTATGACCTGAAATGTGACAAAGGAACACAACCTAGAGTAAAATAAGCCAAAGACGCGATAATTCAAGCTCAAACAATCAAGCAACAAAGGGGAAAACATGTGCAAATACCGAGTCATCAAATCCCCCCACACTTAACTGTTTGCTTGTCCCCAAGCAAACCTAACTCAAACCAATGCAGCTCTCCAGAGCTCTATAGCAACATACAACCCCGATCGTCGATAGAGGATTTCCTAGATCATATAGCAGCTTACGAGGTCAACTGGTCTTCTAAGACGTTCCCTATCTCTCTCAATGCGAGTACTAGACTCAAGCCAGGATCATGAGAAAAAGTAGAAGTAAGACAGTCAGTTCATGGATAAAGGGACTCACACCATTCACAACCAAGGACTCGTTGTACCGGGGTGCTCTTTCACTTCATTTCACCGTTGGAACCCCATTTTCACTTTCATTTTACTTACTTTTTTTTCTTTTTATTCACTTAGCGGGGGTTCTAACTGCAGTCTTTTGCACGGTCGACCCTTATTAGTTGAGCAAGAGCAATTTCTGTACATCTGGCGCTCGCCAGAGTACTTCTTTTAACTCCTTTTCCTCAACTTGTGTGGAGGGTCAATGAAATTAAGGGGGGTCGGAAGCTCTATCCGTGCCCTTAAAAACACATCCTCGAGTAGGCAAACCGTTCAACGGGTGAAAATTTTACTTGTACTAGAGATAGCTTAGCTTCACCTTGTAGGAGTACCCCACTAAGGATCACTAAAATCTCTTCCAAAACCCGATTTTGTGCAATGAACGGTGCCACACACGTTGGGCTTACCCCATGTTTAAGATTTTGGATGATTTAGACATGGTGGACCAACTGCTTTCCATTTTCCACATGAGCACCCTGTTCGATACACGAGTCCATAACACAATCCAAATAGAGTCACCATTATCACATGAATTCAACGGTCCTAGCTCCACTAATTCACAAAATCAACTGGCACAGCAGTGAGCAAGATATGAAAAATCTTATACTTCAACATCCTCCATAGTGCTACACTACCTCCCTAGGTTGCACATTACTATAGAGACCGTCAA